AAGTAACAAGGATTACGGGAATTATGAGCCAGGAACCATGGACAAAAATTGGTATTATATATCATGATATCACAATAAGTAATCTAGAGATGATTTAAAGTATATGGGAGAATGTGCATAGGTTATGTGCAAATACTACATCATTTTATAGAAGGGACTTTGAGCATCTGTGAATTTTGGAATATGCAGGGGATCCCAAAACCAATTCCCCAAAGACAGAGAGACGACTATATTTATTAAGCTAATAAAGTATTGTTATATTACTTCATTCAGCAAGTATTTGCTGAATGCCTACTGTGTGCCAGACACAGTGCTAAGCACTAAGTGAACAAACACTGCCCCCACCTTCTAAACAAGTAAACATACATTTATTATTGCAAGTTGTTAATTATTTGGGGGAAAGTAAATCACAGTGCTATGAGAGACAAAAACAACTTCCGTTAGACTTACTGAAGAGGAAAGGCAACTTTCAGGAATAGGAAGCCGGGCGTGGTGGCTCATGGTTGTAATCCCAGCACTCTGGGAGGTTGAGGAGGGTGGATCACCTGAGGTCAGGAGTTGAAGGCCAGCCTGGCCAATATGGAAACTCTGTCTCTACTAAAAATACAAAAATTAGGCAGGGCGTGGTGGCCCACACCTGTAATCCAAGCACTTTGGAGGCCAAGGCGGGCAGATCAACCTGAGGTCAGGAGTTCAAGACCAGCCTAACCAACATGGTGAAACCCCATCTTATTTTTAAAAAATAATAATAAATAAAATACAAAAATGAGCTGGGCATGGTGGCGCACACCTGTAATCCCAGCTACTTGGGAGGCTGAAGCAGGAGAACTGCTTGAACCTGGGAGACAGAGGTTGCAGTGAGCTGAGATCATGCCATTATACTCCAGCCTGGGTGACAGACTGAGACTCTATCCCAAAAAATAAAAATAAAAACCAATAAAGAGAACAGGGTAAGGGTGAGGAGGAAAGTATACCAGACAGAGGGTCCCGCAATGCAACAGTCCTCAGGAAGTGCTTAGAAGGTTCCTGTCAGTGGAAAGCGAGTGTTTGGGAGGTTGGGAGAGTGGTAAGTGTTAGACTGGGGAGCAGGTGAGGTTTTACAGGGTCTTGCAGGTCCTGATAAGAGATGGACATTTCCTCTAAGTACAATGGAAAGCCAATGAAGAGTTTTACACAGGGGTGACATGTTCCAATCATTACTTAAGGTCACTCCAGCCGCCATGTGGAAAACAGAATGGATGCTGGGGAAAACTGAACACCCAAAGGCTATGGCTTAATTCAGCCCAGAGGTGATGGACTACAAAGCTAACAGTGGAGACGGTGAAAAGTAATTGCATTCAAAATATATTCTAAGGTAGGACTGCTGATGGATTGGATTTAGGGGGTGAGGAGAGAAGGCTAGATTTTTGGTCTAAGCAATTGGATAGATGATGAGAAGGCCAGAAACATACCTTTGGGAACCATCAGTACATAGATGGGTTAAATGACAGAGTGTGGAGAGAAACGGTCCCAGGACTGAGCCCTAAGATACCTCAACTCTTAGACATCAAGCAAGGGAGGAACAGGACCCAGGAAAGAACACTGTGAAGTAGTCCTTGATGGAGGAGAAAATATCACAAAGGAACATATAACACAAAGAAAAGAAAGTTTCTGGAGTTTCTGTATTAACCACTGCTAAGAGATCAAGAAAGCTGAGGCCAGAAAATCAACCTTTGGATTTGACAAGATGGAGAGATCAGGTAATTTTCTTTTTTCCAGACAGACTCTTGCTCTGTCGCCTAGGCTGGAGTGCAGTGGTGCAATCTCAGCTCACTGCAACCTCTGCCTCCCTGCAACCTCTGCCTCCCAGGTTCAAGTGATTCTCCTGCCTCAGTCTCCCAAGTAGCTGGGATCACAGGCACCCACCACCACACCTGGCAAATTTTTGGGTTTTTTTGTTTTTTTTGGTTTTTTTTTCGGCTTTTTGCATTTTTTTTTTTTAGACAGAGTCTCACTCTATCGCCAGGCCAGAGTGCAATGACATGATCTCAGCTCACTGCAACCTCCGCCTCCCAGCTCAAGCGATTCAACTGACTCAGCCTCCCAAGTAGCTAAGACTACAGGCACACCAGCATGCCCAGCTAATTTATATATTTTTAGTAGAGATGGGGTTTCACCACATTGGCCAGGATGGTCTTAACCTCATGATCCGTCCGCCTCAGCCTCCCAAAGTGCTGGGATTACAGGAGTGAGCCACCATGCCTGGCCAAATTTTTTAGTAGAGATGGGGTTTCACCATGTTGGCCAGGCTGGTCTCGAACTCCTGACCTCAGACAATCTGCCCAACTTGGCCTCCCAAAGTGCTGGGATTACAGGCGTGAGCCACCACGCCACACCGGATCAGTTAATCTTAACAGTCATTTCTGCAGACTAGTGAGGATGAAAGCACAACAAAACGGTTAAGAGACTGAGGGGCTAATGAGCACTTACAAGAAGTTTTGTTGGGATAGGAAGAAACAACAGAGTAAGAGGTGGACATGTATGTGGGGACAGGGGATTTTCTTAAGATGAATACACTAAAGCAGGTTGTATGCTCACAGGAAATGCTCCAGTGAAGAGGGAAAAATTAGTAATGATGGCTTGGACTAGAGTAAAATATATGAACAGTTTTTCAGGTTGCAGAAGAAATCCCATCAGTGGGTTGCAAAATTAATTCAGTGGGTCAACTTTTTTTTTTTAAGACAGAGTCAGCTGGGTGCAGTGGCTCATGCCTGTAATCCCAGTACTTTGGGAGGCTGAATCACTGTGTTGGGAGTTTGAAACTAGTCTGTTCTTGTGATACAGAAAGAGAAAAAAGAAACAAAAACAAACAAATAAAAGAAACCGGTCTGGCCACCATACTGAAAACCTGTCTCTACTAAAAATACAAAGAATTAGCCAGGTGTGATGGTGTGCACCTGGGAGACTGAGGCAGGAGAATCACATGAACTCAGGAGGCAGAGGTTACAATGCGCTGAGATCATGCCTTTGAACTCCAGCCCAGGCAAGAGTGCAAGACTCCGTCTGAAAAAAAAAAAAAAAAAAAAAAAATTAAAAGAGCCTTCCTCAGTTACCTCACCAGGAGTGCAGTGGCTAGATTTCAGCTCATTGCAGCCACCTGGCCTCAAGCAATTCTCCTATCTCAGCCTTCTAAGTAGCTGAGACTACAGGCATGCACCACCACCCACAGCTTTTTTTTTTCTTTTTTAAAGACGGAGTTTCACCATGTTGGTCAGGCTGGTCTTGAACTCCCGACCTCAGGTGATCCGCCCACCCGGGCCTCCAAAGTGCTTGGATTACAGGCGTGAGCCACCACACCCAGCCGAGCTAACTTTTTAATTTTTTGTAGAGACAGGGTCTTCCTATGTTGCCCAGGCTGGCCTCCACCTCCCAAGCGCAAGTGATCCTGCAGCCTAACCCTCCCCAAAGTGCTGGGATTACTAGTATGAGCCACCACACTTGGCCCCATTCATTTCAATAAAAAATAGACAATATTGAGAGTGTACTCCATACATTATTGTTTCATGAGTCTTTCATTTCATTACACAGTCAAAAAAAAAAAAAAAAAAAAATTGGAAGGGGCCAGGTAAGGTGGCTCATGCCTGCAATCCCAGAACTTTGGGAGTCCAAGGCAGGAGGATCACTTGAGCTCAGGAGCTGGAGACCATCCTGGGCAACAAAGTGAGACCCTGT